AATAATAATAATCATTTATTAAAAGTATAAAAATAAAAAATTTTTTTTTTTTTTTATAGTCAATCATCTTATATATATATAAACTTTTCATATATGTAAACACGTAAAATTTTTTTTTTTTTTTTTTATATTTTTTTTAAATAATTTTTTTATAACAAAATACATTAATGATAATGATGATGATAATAATAATGATAATTTAATCAATCACTTAAATATTTCAATTAAATTTTTTTTTTTTTTTTGGGAATGAAGTTATAATAATAATAATAATATTAATTGAAATACGTAATTTGGAGAAGAAAATTTTACACGATTTGTTTTACAAAATGATTAATAATAATAATAATTTAATAAAATATTTATGGAATAAATTTATTTTTCTTTACATATATCTATTAAGACTGAACTTTTTAATTAATTAATTAATTTATTTATGTATATTTTATTTATAATAGATTTCAATTACCAACAGCGATAACAAGAAGAATAACAACAATAATAACATCATGAGCAGGAACAAAAATAAAAAAAAAAATTTGTTCAGACATCATTTTCACACTCATCATTAACTCTGAGCCCAAACATTTGTACCGACAGCAAATCTAATATAAAAAAATATTTTTGGGGGGAGGAAGGGGGGTAGGGGATAAAATGGGTGATTATAATTTTTTTTTCTTTTTTGTCGTTTTTTCGAATACTAAAAACTTTTTATTATTTTTTAATATATTATGTTAAATATATATAAATATAAATCTAAAAAAATAATAATAAAATGGACGGGGATGAGTTGGGGGTGGGGGCGTGGGGGTTATCACGACATAACGATCGTATTTTTAATGACATTTTTCAATTTAATTTATTATGTATTATTAATAAGGACACGAACGCGAATTTTTTTTTTTAATATCGTAACGTAATGATTACGCATTATTATTATTATTATTATTTTGGTCAATTTTCATTTAAGTTTTCTTTTTTTCGATAATAATAATAATTATTATTATTTATTATCCGTAGCAAAAAATTTTCTCTTTCCTTGTTTTTTAATCATCATTTTTCTGTCGAAAATAATTTTAATTATTTATTTATTTACTTATTTATTTATTTACTTATTTATTTATTTATTTATTTATTTATTTATTTATTTATTTATTATTATTATTATTATTATTTTAGGAACTTGCCACCGAAGTGTGATGTTATAATATTATTTGAAATAATTTTCCGTCGGGAAAATTTTGCTTAAAAAAAAAAAAAAAAAATTAAGGTTGAAAAAAAAGGTTGGGAAAAAGAAAATTTCTTTTTTTTTTTGCTACGGAATTAATTTGAAAATTAACACATAGATGTCTCTGCCTCTCTCTCTATTTTTTTATAATTAAAATCGCCATTTTTTTCGCCGTATTGAAATTATTATTATTATTATTATTTTATTAAATTTTTTCTAATCATATTTATTTAATTATTTATTTATCTAACTAATTAAATTCGTTAATAAAAATTATTTATTTATTTATTTATCAAACTATTTTTTTAAAAATTTTTTTGACTAATATAAAATGATGATAATGATTTCTACTACAAACGGAAAAATTGAAAAATTTTCTTTTTTTTCTAATTTTTTTAATTACGGGATAATTTATTTATTTATGTATGTATGTTATTAATTTTTTTTTAAATAATTATTTTCTATTTATTATTATTATTATTCATCATGCATAAATTTAAAATTATTTTTTTTAATCAATTTTTGCTATTAAATAATAAAATTAATAATTTATTTATTTATTAATTAATAAAAATAATATTTATTTATCCTTTTAATATTTATATCGATTAAATAATAATAATAATAATAATAATAATGTAAAAGTTCAGTCGTATGAATACAAATGTAATAATAATAATAATAACGAAACGTCAATTTTAAAAAAAAAAAAAAAAAAAAAAAAACAAGGTACACAAAAAAGGCAACACGCGGAAAATTTTCTTTTTTTATGGGGAAAAATAATAATAATAATAATAATATTGTTGAATTTTATATGTTTGTTGTTGTTGTTGTTACGGTTGCCTTTTTAAGTACAAAATTTTAAAGTAAAAAAAAAAATGGTAATTCAAACAAACAAACAAAAAAAAAAAGAAAAAAATACTTCAGTTTTAAAAAATTTCAGGTACTGTTTTTTTTTTTTTTTTCATTTTTTTTTTTTAAATAAAAAATACAGTTTTAGTTTTTAAAATCAAGGCTGTGTTTGTTGTTTGTCTTAATTTGCCATTAAAAGATGTTGATACTGACCGGCAGTGTATGGCGTGGTCAAACCAAAATTGTTCAAACCTTCAAGTATTTGTTTATTATTATTATTATTATTATTATTATTATTATCTTGAGGCGAATTACCGTTGTTATTTCCGGTGTTAACGGTTAGGTTTTGCTGATTTGGAGACGAAGGAGATACGTAAGGATTATTTATACGATCCCATCCTTGGAATTTGTTGTTGTTGTTATAAACTTCTGGCATGTATTGAGAATTGTCGAAAAGATTTCGATGTCCAAAAGGTGGTTGAGGATGATACTGGCCTTGATTTGCAGTGTAATAATAATTATCTGGTGATGCTCCATAATGACCTTGCATGTTTGGTGATAAGGCTCTCCCGGATGGAGATGTTTGAGATGAATGATGGTGATGAATTTGTTGCTGCATTGCACGTTGTTTTATATAGTTTGAAAATTCCGTTGGTGACATTCTAAACAAAAAAAACACACACACACGCATTTATTTATTTATGTAATTTGATTTCATTTCATTTTTTCACCGGGGGGAGCAATGTTGAAACACCTAAACAAACAATCCGGTTATGTTTGGGTGGAAAAGAAAAGAAATAATAATTTTACCTGTTTGCTCTTTTGCTGCTCGTTTTTAACTTAGTACTTCCAAATTTTGTTTGTGCAAATGTTGCAGTGGTGAAAGTTAAAGGAGCTGTTGATCTCGGTATAAATGTCGGCACCGGACTCGTTGAGCATTTAAAGGGTGTGGAAGTCGGTGAAGAATGTGCCGATAAAGTCGAAATGGAGGATCCAGGAGGATTATTTAAAGAACCCGAAAGTACCGGTGGCAGTAGTAAGTGACTGAATGGGGACGAAGGCTTCGTCGGAGCCAAAGACAAATTACCCATGCTCGAACCGACTGTGTCGATGGGTCTGAAACATTGGGCTTCCGGATTGAACGTTTTCGTTACTTCTCGATCGGCGGAATTGTCATCGTGAAGATCCGCGGATTCGCTGTACAATAATTTAACGGCTCCCTTTTCACCGATCCTGTAACTGACTTCTCCCGGATCTACCCAAACGGCTAATTCTTCAGGAAGATTTTCTAATATGTCTTGAATGGGTATACCACTTTCTCTCGCTGCTCTATCCAAAACGGCATCAACTGGATCCCCGGTTTTCAAACATCTATATGCGGAACCTTTGAACGGTCTTTCCGGATACCAGTGACCCTGAAATTTGTCTTTCAATGCTTTTTCTAGTTCTTCTCCAAATATGTTGACTCGTCTTCTGGGTAATTTATTATAGAGATAACTGATGACAAAATTAAGAGCGACTTGTACTTCGATGTGCATGTTTGCCAGGTTGTACTCTTATTATTATTATTATTATTATTATTATTATATTAATTTGATGATTCACTTAACGCACGATAAAATTTCTTTCGAATTTTGTGTTCAAATGCAAAAATTTTTATGCATTTCACGTATTTTTTATCACACAACAATTTTTTAATACGTACGCGGAATTTGATAGGGGGTCAAACGTATTGATTTTTTTTTTTTTTTTTTTTTACTTGCTCAACTTTCTTTCATTTAATTTTTCTTTCCCCCAATCCAACAAAAAAAATTTCTTGATTATATTTAAACCTGAAACAAACAAACAAACAAACAAAAAAATTTTTTTTTTTTTCTTATTCGTTTATGAACATAAAAGGGAAAATCCATTTTTAAAAAAAAAAAGGAAAATTTATTACAATATTTTTTTTTTTTTTTTTAAATTCAAATCGAACAATTACAAAAAGGTTAATTAGGTGAAATCACGTGATCATATAACAACCGGATTATCATTATATTTAATTTTTAAATTTCCCCCCCCCCGTCTTTCCAAATCGATTTTCTGCCACGTTTTATTTGAAAAAATTTTCTTTTTATTTATTTAAATAAATTATTAATCGTTAAAAATAATTATATATATTTATTTAAATTAATTTATTAAAATGTCGTCGGACAAAGGCAAACAAGAATAACAAACAAACTGCATTCGTGAAAATATTTAAAAAAATTTTTTTTTTTAACGACCAACTTGTGCGAGTAACATTTAAATCAAAAAAAAATTTAAATTTATTATTATTATTATTATTAATTAAACTAAATGTTTTATTTAATTAATTATTATATTAACATAAAAAAAAATTAATAACATTTAACGTATACAACCTTGACATTGAAAATTCACGTACAACAAATCAATAATAATAATAATAATAATTACTCTTTTTCTTTTATTGTGCGAACTCGCGAGAAAAATATAAGTGTCGGTAGGAATTATTATTATTATTATTTTAAAATGACATTAACGCCATTTTTTTTTTAAATACGACACGACGACGTTTGATTATATTTAGAATGTTTAAACGGTCACGCAAATCACGCGAATTTAATTTAAAAACAAAAAAAAAAAAATTTTCTTAATTAAAATCCAAGACTTTTTCTAATGTTGTTGACGATGATAATAATAATAATGTTGTATTGTGAAAACGAGAAAATCGTTCGTGTCATCTTTCTATGTGTATATATATATATTGTTGTATGTCACACAAATTGATGAAATTGCTTAAAATAATAATAATAATAATAATAATAATAATAATAATAATAATAATAATAATATGTGCTGTAGTCAGTAAAAAAAGCATTGTTTAAAAAAAAAAAAAAAAATGTGAATTTAATTGAAACCTTGTTGGACAGTGATAGAGTCTTTTGACCTTCAAAGGTCAAGGAATTCGTTATTCCACCGTTTGTTGTTTGTCGTGTGGCATATTAATAAATATATTTTCCATTTTATTACAAAAAAAAAAATAAAAAATTATAATTAATTTAATTAAAAATATTATTTTTCGTAACATTGATAAGAAGTCATTACGAGATTTATTCTGACGCATACATTTTAAATTTGATAAAAAATATTATTATTATCGTCCTTCTCCTAAATCTCAATAATTCGTTAAACGACGTAATTTTTTTTTTTAAATAATAATAATAATAATGGAAAAATGTTTTGATGACACATGTAACAAGGTTGATTGTTCAAGGAATAATAAAAATTTTCAAACAACCTTATTGATAACCACCTCCTTGTTTCTGTCGTTCCCCATTGATAAACCTTCTTATCCTCTTTATTTAATTTTTAAAAAAAAATTTCTACAGTTTTCTACCTTTCGAGAGAGAGAGAGAGAGAAAATTCATAACACGTCGTCATAATAAAAAAAAAAAAAAGAAAATTATGACGTTTTTTAAAAATTCATACATGCGTGACACGATTGAAAAACGTTTTTCTTTCTTTTTTTTTTTCTTTTTTTTTGTTAACGACAAACAGAACTGTGCAAAGTCTAAAGTTTTGTATGTTTTTACGATGATGTTTGTACGGTGTTTGCTTGCCCCCTCCCCTCCCCTCTCCTCTTCCTTCCCCCCCACTACGATGACGATTTTTAATGTTAATGAGATAGAAAAATTAAATTCATCATAATAACAAATTTTTTTATTGCCATTTTTTTTTTCTGATACGTGTTCTTGTATCGTGAAAAAAAAATTAATGATAATAATAATGATGATAATAATAATAATAATAATACGGTAATAATTTCGTTTGTATACGACGATGCGATGATAATAAAATTATTAAAATCGCCCAATCAAATTATTACTCTTCTTTGGTTTTAATAAAATTCATTCGTTTTGTTATAGGAATTTCCCCCCCCTCCCCTAAACGTGGAAAAACGATGAAAACACCTAATAATAATAATAATAATAATAAGGTGAAGTTTTTTTTAAAATTTTCTTTACGTGAAAAAGAAGAAGAAAAAAACAGCACAAAAAATTTTTTTTTCTTTTTTTACACTTTTTGAATTTTTTTGGATGGCGCATGTGTATGTTGTGTAAGTTTGCATTAAAAAAAAAAAAGAATTTGAATTTCAAATCATTCCCAAGTGAATTGTGAATACTATAATAATAATAATAATAATAGAAAAAACAGAATTAAATGAGGCGGGTTTTTTATTTTAAACAACAACAACAAAAATTTTCTCATCTTATATTTCTTTTTAATTTATTTTTAATTTTTTTTTTCTTCTTGTTTTGTTTTACGTCCAAATTTTATAAATAAATTTAAAAAAATTTAACGTTAAATTATTTGAATGTATATACTAGAATATAACACGTAATATTATTATTATTATTATTATTATATTGGTAGCAACGGGTTTTTTTTTCACAATGCCCTTGACATAATTTTATTAATTTTTTTTTTTTTTTTTTCATTATCAAAAAAATAATTTATTTGTTTTAAATATGAAAAAAAAAAATTGAATTTTTAAAATTAATATTTAACATAACGACTTTAACACAAAAAAATTACGGTAATAAAAATTAATTGAGAGAGGGAGGGGGGGAGAGAGAGAGAAAGAGAAAAATCGTGGACGCACATACAAATCTTTTGTTATTATACGAGAGAATGAATTCATTCACACTCACGACTTTTTCCCCTTTTTTTTTACAAATAAATATAATAATGATAATGTTTTGTAACAAACCGTAAAACCTTGAATACCTTAAATTATTATCATTAAAAAATAATAATAATAATGTTTGCCGTAATGCGAGAGAATCAACAACAACAACAAATGAAATTTTAGATAACAAAAAAAAAACCACCACCACGATGTGAATGTCATTTGAATTTAATAAAAAAATTATATTAATTTAAAAAATGAATAAAACAAACGAACAAACAGGAAAAATTATCGTCGTTTGTAGTTGTTGTTAATGAATATTACGCGAGGAAAGAAAAGTTTTTGTGAATTTTTCATATATTTAATCGATTTCCTGTTTAATTTGGATCGTTTCTAAGGCAACGCCCTACTTACAACGACCCAGCAATGAAAATTATTAGACCAGGACTGGGACGACAACAAAAATAATAATAGTAATATTTTCCCTCTTTTTTTTTTTTAAAATTAATTATTATTACCCTCCTCCCCTCCCCCAAATAAAAAAATAAATCGATGTGTATTTTTAATCGAATCGCGTGTGAGTAAAAATTTTCTTTTTTTTTTCGAAAAAAATTACACGATAAAATTTGTTTACGTTTTATATATCGAATCAAATGAAAAAATAGGTTAAATTTTTTTTTTCCGACGCCCCCTCCCTCCCTCCTTATCCCCCTCCTCCCTCCAATTCCTCATCGAAACCTTTCGGAAAATCCAACCAAAAAAAAAAGAAAAGAAAATTTTTTTCGGTATGAAAATGAAAAAAAAAAATTCTTATTATTATATTATTGGAAATCCACGGGATTGATAATTTAAATAAAGCCTTGAACTTTTGACCTTTCGAATCAATATTTAGGTTTTAATATATATATATATATATATATATATATTTATATTCGGATGGATTTTTAAAATGGCGGCTTTTTTTTTTTTTGTAAAACGTCGGGTGAATCTCCAGCGTAAACGTTTTGAATTTTTTTAAAAAAAAAAAAAGGAAAATTTTTCGATGTTTGTCTCGTTTGTTTAAACAACAAACAAACAAACAAACATACAAACAAAAAGGTTTTTTTGTTTTATTGAAATAGATAAAAAAAAAAAAGGATCAAAAGATGTTTGAAACAATCGATAAAAAAAATTTTTTTTTACGAAATAAAAATAAAAAATAATAATAATAAAAACGTTATTATTGGAATAAACGAAACGGGGGTAGATGGGGAGGAGGTTTTGGGGTGTGGGGGGTATGGGGAAAATAAAAAAAAGGTGCTGCTGTTGCTGCTGCTTTTGTAGGAATAAATCAATTTTTATACCCTTTCTTTTTATTTATTACATAAATTGCGGTATAAATAAAAGTTGAGTTTGCAAAAATTAATAATTTAACATAAGCGAACATTAAAAATTAAATTTTTTCTCACCTTTCTCTCTCTCTCTCTCTCTCTCTCTTTCACTCCCCCTCCCCTCTCCCTTTCTTTCGCTTTTACACATTTTTATTAATTTTCTTTTTGAAGTTATAAAAAAAAAAAAATTTTTTGCTCGAACAAGAACTTTTTACAATAAACAATTGACCGCCATCATCATCATCATCATCATCACCACCCCCCTCCCCTCCTTCACCACCAAAACGAAACCTTAAAACATTTTTAATAATAATAATAATAAAAAACTTACAAGATTGATAACATCAATCAATAATTAATAATAAAAAAAAAAACAGTTGTAATTGATAACACGCTCACAAGTATTAAACAAAAAAACCGATAATAATAATAATAATAAATAAATCTATTAAAATTTCTTTTAACCTTACAAAAA